AAGCCTTTATGTGCTCACACTGAGAAGCGGATGCCTTTTCGTAGCGCCGAAGATACTTCTCAATTCTGACAAACCTATGCAATTTTGCATTTCCTTGCTCCTCGCGAAGTCAGGCGGACTCAACATTTCGACCGGTACACGCACTACCGAGCAATGCACTTTTATCTCGCCTACCAGATGCCAAGAAGAATAAAGAGTACAGGCGAACAAAATGAGGCGCTTCTAAAAACCGCTGCTGACGCAGAACGAAACGGGAGCCAATCAGAGCTTACGCGACCAGCCTGGAGCAGCATATGTTGCTCAACGTGCCCAAAAGCCAAACCAATTTGCCAGCGACGACGGATTGGTACGCCCACTGACGAGAGTGGGGATGAGGGAGTCGACCGGCACGCTCCCACCCCACAGGCATGAGGCAGACAACGAGCCTAATACATTTAGGCAAACAGAAACAACCACCTCGCTTTTATGACGACGGAAACAAAAAGGTTTACAAGACGACGAAAATAAATGTTATTAACAGGTGTTCTCTTCTTGTCGCGGCATATACACATGTCTATGGATTTGGGGCAAATTCTTTTGCATAAATCTTCTCAGGTTCGATCAGAAAGTAGATATGAATATTTGAGCAGAAATTCGTCGACGTTAATGGAAAAACCGCGTAAACTTGACGAATTGTCAATGCCGGTAGCTAGGTGCCCTTTGGCCATGGTAAGCTTGGAGCTTGTAGCAGGTTCTTTTTCGCACACAAAACTGGCGTCCTCAGCCGGATAGCGGTTGCTTCTGCTGTTGCTAACAGGCGTTGACTCAGTGACTTAGGGTAGTTTGGTGGGACCATTTAGATCGACCTGAAGGCTTCGTTGGGGTCCACCCGATGTCCGGAATCCATCATGTGCGCTAGGATAGAGCTGTTGATGGTCCTTGGTGGTATTGACTTCACCTTTGCTTAGCCATTGCGGGAGGTGTTCCTTTATTCTTTTGGATAGGCGTCGACTCGTGCGACCAATATAACCTGCTCCACAGGAGCAAGTAACTGTCAATGAGCATTCGGTAGTAGACAGCTGCTGATTGATCCACCATGCTGTCAGCACGAGAACCAGTTGAAAGCCCGGACACGTCTCGTGCCCGAGTTGTGTTGGTGCGTGATGCGACTGGTAGGGGTTCCGTCCATCAGCTGTATCTCCCGCCTTCCTCTATCTTCTGTTATTTTAGTAGTTGATGCACTCTTTTTTGCTTTCCCCATTTTACGACTGTCTCTGATGACGGGTTCCAGCGAGAATCCAAAAACTCAGACTAATCGAATTCTTCTTCCAGCGATCGCATCTTTTTTATTCTGAATGAACTTATTCCGAGTTGGCAAGTTACCTTTTGGGGAAATAACCAAAACTTGAAGGAAGATAAATCGGGAGGTAACCGAAAGATCACGAGGAGTGGCGTGGGGGCCCATTGATGATCAGATGGCCTCGCAACTGCCTCGTGTAGCGACTAAAAAATCCGTTCAACACTTGTCTAGGCTTTTAGCTAACACGCCTTGGCCTGCTGAAAGTGCGGTAGATGTTGCGAAAGTCTACTGTCATGGGCACCTCACCGCACATGCGCTAAAATACTGTGGGGTGCAAAATGAACGTTTGCGATGGTTGAACGATTAGCTAGTACCAGCGTTCAACTATTGTAAATCAGTTGGTATTCATATACACATGCGTGTATATGCGTTCGTCACTCAAACAAGCCGAAACGTAACAGGGGACAAAATACCAAAACTGAAACCTAGAGTATGAGTTGGACAGAATACAGT